TCTGCTTATACGGCATGAAAGATACCTGCTTAGGAATTTGGGGTGAAGTGTCATAAAGTCTGTAATTTAAGTGGCTTGGCTTACTTGAGAGAGAGAAGAAAGGATAGTAAATGCTAACAAGTAAAAAATACATAATCTAATAGAATATAATACAAAAGATGTAAGTTAAAATTCTAACTTAAAATGAAGACAAATTCTTTATTAAATTCTGCAATAAAAAATGAAATTATTTAATAAATTATGTATGGCTGACTAAGTGGGAATAGCTGACTGGGGCTCCCTAGGAAAGCCATTGAAGGAATAAAGTTTGAGGGTAGTTATCTCTTCATCTTTTTGCCCTCCCTCTTATTCCTTTCTCCTTTCTCCTTCTCAGTAAACAGCTCCAGAGCTGGAACTGCAGTGAAGTAGCCATTATGCAACCAACAAGAAAAAGACAAAAGGAAGTTCCATGATCTTTGTCTAATTTCCTGAGCTTCCACCTATTAGTAACAATCGATGACCCAGGTTTGTTCTTTGTATAAGAAAAATAAACTCCTATGACAGAGTTTCCCAAATGTTTTCAATTCATTGTTAGTGTTTCAGCAGTTTTTGGCAGTGCCCCTAGGTCAAAAGGAACATCTAATTAAGTGCGGGGGGGGGGGCACTAAAAGCTCCATTTATTAAGTTGTTAGGTGTCAACAATTCAATAGTATTTATGTATTAACTTTTTAGCTGTTTGAAAAAAACTAAATTAAAAATAAAATTAATTTTTAAATAACCACAATTACTATGTTCCAAATGCACCCTCTTCTGCTTCTCAAACCTTGGTATCACATTGAGTACTACCACCTTCACCTCCTATCACACATTTGATTTTCATTTAGCATTTGCTTTTTTATGGTAAAATAAACATAAGATAAAAATTACCACCATGACTGCATTAAGAACATTCATAGTTATGTAATCATTACCACCACCCACTTCCATAAATTTTTCATCTTTCCACATAAAACTTTGAATACACTAAACACCAAATCTCCAACCCCCGCCCCCATAACCTTCAATACACAGCAAACACCATTCTACTTTCTGTCTCTATGAATTTGACTACTATAGGAACCTCAAAAAGAGAAATCATACAGTAACTGTCCTTTTATAACTGCCATATTTCACTTAGTATAATGTCTTTAAGGCCTATCCATGTTGCAGCATGTATCTAAACATCCTTCCAACTGAATAATAGTTTATCTATGTATATGGCGCATTTTATTTATCCATTTATCTGTGGATTCTTCTACAGATTGGTTACTGTGAAAAACACTGCAATGAACATGGGTATACACAGTATTTCTTTTTATCACATTACTAAATAAGCAGCTTTTCATCATTTAAAGGCACATAGTTCAATCTAAAGTTGACCCTATGAATCTCCTCGAGCTAGTAGTTTGTTTCACGTTTGCAGGATTCCACACATCTATGTTTCCTTCAAAATTTAAAAGACATTGTGACTCCCCCAGAGTTTACTATGGCACACAATTGCCCTTTGATGACTTAAGAACCACATCCCATGATAAAGTCACTATATTTAAGTTTCCAGTTGAACAGAACTTAATCCTTAAGTTACATAAACATTACAATCAAATTACTACTTCTTATGAGGCCCCAGTTGAGATGATTCAGTCTTCAAATAAGACATTTTTTCTGTGTGACAATTCTTAGGCAATATTTTCTGCACATGGTTCCACAGAATTCCTAAACTGTCACAATCACTCTCACGGCCTAGAAAGTGAATTTTCTTATCTATTTTGCAAATTACACTTTGCCTGAAGCAATAATGTGATGGTTAATTTTACACATCAGGTTGACTAGGAAAATGGTCATAGTTGTTGACAATTAACTGTGGTTGATAATTGGTCAAATATTAATCTGGGTGTATCTATGTTAGTATTTTAGATGAGATTAACATTTAAATTGACTGATTGAGTGAAGCTTATTGTTTTTCATTAAAGGGGTGACTCTCATTCAATCAGTTGAAGGCCTGAACAGAAGAACAAAAGGCTGACCCTTTATCAATTACTACCTTCACACCAATATGAAGCATCAGTTCTTCCTGGGTATCAAACCTGCTAACCTTCAGAAAGGAGATAAGTCATTGTCTTTGAATTTGGACTAAAACTAAACCATTGGTTCTTCTGAGTTTCCAGCTTGTTGACTCATCTTGCAGATTTTGGGAACTGTCACCTTTCATAATCACATAAGCGATTATATCCCTGTATTTGTTTGTACCTACATAGATATTTATTGACAGATAGACAGATATTAGCTATACAAACATATAACTATAATTAGAGAGAAATAGATCTCCTACTTGTTCTGTTGTTCTGTATGACTCGTGACTAATAAACCCCCAGAGTCATAGGTTCATTGGTAGCTATTATTCTGGGTCATGCCATTGGCAATAATACACCGGAAAACAATGACAGAACCAGAAAGTAATGCCAACATCAAGTTTATCACATCATTCCCAAGGTTAAAACCCCTCCATAACTGTCTAGCGTCTTCAACACAGACCCAAACTCCATGTCCTAACATTTCTAACTCTTCACCTGACTTCTGTTTAATCCTCTTTAGTCTTATTTCTTCTCAGAATCTCTAAATCCCCTATAATGAAACCAGATAGAGAGGTCTATGATGTCTGACCTCCCCCCCCAACCAAGGTTTAAATGTGATTTTCTCTATGCAGTGGTTCTAGAACTATAGAATTAGTTCCCGACAGGCCCCTCATGTGTACACACATGCACAGACACACATGCACACACACACGACATACACTTTGCGCAATCATAAGCTAGCTCCTTTTCCTTTGAGAATCTACGTAGATATCCTACACTCTTCCAAGATCCACTTATCAAACATAAATTGGAAACCCCCTACAAACAAATATTGCCAAGTCACCCTAAGTTTATCTGTGTCAGACCCCTTATCATGCATTAGATTCCATTAATTTGTCAAAGTTCTTGAGGGGCATGACTATGTGTATCCCTAAAATGTATTACGATTAATATATACTCAATAATAATTTCTTAACTAAATGATTAGATGAAGTTCAAATAGACCCATCCTCATCTAGTTAGTTTAGGAAATGGTAATCAAGACCTGAAAGGAACATACAGTCATTCCTGGCACCATCCTCAACCCCTTACCCATGCCTATACATGCCCCCACCATGCAGCTCCAGAACAAGCACTGCAAACTGGACAGCTGAACAAGGAGCCAGGAAATTGAAAAGAGGAGAATCAAAAAGCACCCTTAATTTTTACATGATTTCCAAGGTATATTAAGCTGAGAGTTCACTATCCCTTTAGCATATTTTTTTTTTTTTGGCCATGGTTATAATTATAACTATAGCTATGTTGGTCACCATTGAAAAATATTCCCAAACTACTTACTGGCTGGCAACCCTGAAATCACTTATTCTTTCTAGACTTTAATTTGCTTATCACTTAATCAATTGAGATTACATATTGGAAAGCATTAACACAGTGCCCAACACATGCTAAATTATGATAAAATAAATATGTTATTAGTGTTATCCCTATTATGATTACCGCAGGATTTCATATACAAGTATATATAAAAGCATGCTACAGTTCACTAGTCAAACATGAGCATGAAAGGTTTTACTGGGTCCTAGTTCCTGAAACTGCAAGTATATGACCTTAACATTCAGAAACTTAGTCTGCCATGCCATGGCCTTAGATGCTGACAATGACAGACCTATTTCATATGCAGATTCAGGAGATATTTTTCCTACACTTATACTAAATACCTGTAGTTCTAAGAAATAAAGCAAATTAAAACAAACTTTCAAAATAAGAATGAGCTACAGAGATATTTATGTTCTGTTTTTTTTTTTTTAATCCATCCATTTCTATTATATGTCTCCATACAGAGAAATACAGAGACACTAAATAAGTAACTTTTGGTTTCTTGCCTGACATAAAGATTATTCACCATAACTGGGTTAGTTATGTGTTCACAGACTGCTACTAATTTTATTTGGCAGTGTAAACACCATTAATATAAACATTTTAAGCTAAATATTAAAATACCTAAAAGATTATATAATTGTTTAATTTTACATAGCAATGTTATATTTAACGTGGGATCTAGTCTTCCATTTTTCAGCCCAATTATATATATTATTGCAATAACTTCATGCAGTCAATAATAGTTTAGAGTGTGTCAAACAATTTGCTGTTCTCAACAATTATAGTTTAATTTTAATTATTCTATTATTATATAAATATATATTATTATAAACTGTAGATATTATTATTCTGTAATTTAAAATATGTGGTAATTCAAACACTACTGAATTAAAAGCATATTCTTTCTGCATTTCAAATTAACCAGGTTTTCTACTTCTCCGTCAGTGTATCTTTAACTTATTCTCCTTCAGCTTGCTTCCCTATTTTTACTAAACACATCATAAAATTCTAAGTTCTGCACTTAATATAATTTTTATATTTATATTTACTAATTCCTAATTCATTAGCTATTAAAATTTCTCCATTTTTCATCCTTTTCCTCCCAAACACACTATTTCTAGCATGCAACTAACATAATTATGGTTCTGGTCACCCCTTTAACTCATTATCTGTAGAATCCTGCCCTATAAAGTTCCTTATTTCAGGAAGACAGAATCTCGCTAAGCTTATTCATGTTCTTCCACCACTGCCACCTGATTTCTGATCTTTCTATCTCAATGTTTAACATATTTAATAATCCCACATGGTGTCATATTTACCATTGTGTACTCTTCATCTTCACACACTCATGTAAATGTGTACATATCCACCCCCTTACTGAACAAGTTACATATCATTATGAAACCATCAACTTTGACCCTAGCATTGGGTCATGTATTTTTCCATAGGATTTGCTGACAGAGACGGGTCTAGAGGAGAAAAAAGAAATCGCTGTTAATTTTTAAAAGATCCCCCAAAAGACAATCCTACCTTTGCCAGGATTTGTTGGAAAAGGACTTCCAAACTCCTGCTGCTTTGGCTTTAAAGTGTGTGGCCCTGACATGCCTCCGGCCTGAGTGACATGGAATCGTGGCTTTCCATTGGTGAGTACTTGTCTCCTAGGGCTCAAGGCTGGGAGATGGATAGGGCTCTCAGTCATGCTGTTCTGAGAAACCATTCCTCCTCCTGAGGGCATCTTGAGATGGATACTGTTGGCAAGGCCTCCAACAGCAGGGCTTGGTGCGCTGCCACAGGATGAGGGACCAGGAGTCCCTGAGTGGGCTCGCAAGGGAGGAATGTGTTGGACACTGACCATTCCAGGTCCCTGGGGAGTTCCTGTTGACCGGAGGAGATTCATGCTGCATGACCTTCCATTCATTATGAAAAAACCTGTGGCCAGGATGGTCAAATATCCAATTGCACTAATGACTCCGTTCAGGCAAAGTCCAGTAAGTTATCCATGGTTTGGGTTATTAACCTGTTTAAAAAAGTAAATGCAGGCATTTTTAAAAGCAAGAATGAAAATAAGTTACAGTAAGTTTTCAACCTGTGTAACAATCATATGAGGTAGAGAAGCACCACACTTAGCAGAATGGCCATTTATGGAAAGCAGGGTCATCAAATACCTGGTTCACTGGCAGATTCTCTGCTTCCCTGAATTCTTGATAAACATGGATTATGGGTCACTGCATTGTTTTGTGTTTTTGTTTTTGTTTTTTTGCCATTGAGTCCTCAATACAGTGTTCTTGGCAACTACAATCAATCTACCAGTGCCAGCTTGCAAAAATAAAACTTCTTTTGCTCCCTAGAGTATCTGTCCATGCTAGTTCATTTTTGCTACAATAAATTTTGGGAAAACCAAAAGCATTGCCTTCATGAACTATAAGACCAATGCTTCAAAGATTCCCATAAACAACAACAACAAAAAAAAAAGCAGATAAAGCCTTTAAATGAGATTATAATGACATCAAACCATCTCTGATTTTCATTTCAAGAGCAATCTTTTCATAGTCCCTAGATTTATAAAGATAAAAATATGGACCCAGGACTCTTACAAAGATCTCATATAACCATCTAGCCAATATTCACATCAGCACTAGGATCTTAGTTCCATGCTGATCCATGCTGAGTTATGGAGATCCTGAGTGAAGATCCTTGAAAAAGAAAAAGCTGTACACGATGTAACATAAGGAATCTACTACCCTCCATCTGTGGGTAGTAGATTTACCATGTACCACATACAATAAATTGATCTAGTTTGGGGAAGCTTCTGTCTGCCATTTTACCACCCCCTTTTTCATGGAAGCTGAAAAAACCAAGAAAAGAAATAATATAAAAAAAAAGAAAGAAAGAAATAACATGGCCACAAGAATGTTTGCCTCTATGTCAGTGCTCCCTCATTACAAATCATGAGGAAAATCCCTTCCCTCCCTTGATCTATAGCTCCCCACGATGTTTACAGTGAGGAGACTAAGCGCCAGGTAGTTATAGTCTACATCCTTCTATGTAGGTAATAGAGACCAAAAATGAACAAACAGAGGAACAACTGAGAACAAAAACAAAAACAAAAATCTGTAGCCAGATATCCACTACTAGATGATTTCTAGCTATTCTATATGTTCCACTCAAAGTCTTGGTGAAATAGTTTCATCTCAATTCCCAAAAGTATAATTTTATCAATCATCAAGAACTGCAAAGAGGTAAACCTTTTGTGAAGAGGTTGTTTTCTTTAATCACATAGAAAATCTAAAATACTTCATTTTCAAGTTTAGCACTCACTGTACCTTCTCAAAGTTGACTGTGTACACAATATGTTGACAGACTTAAAAAAGCATTAGCCACATAAAATTGTAAATGTTTTTCATTTTTATCAGTTCTCTATATTTTTAGGAAGTCTATCAGTCTGACATTTAACACTGTCATGCTAGCTAGCCCTCGGAAACACTAAACAGTCTTCTGATAAATCAGAACTTTCTCCTTTGCCCAGAACTGGACAAATAACTCTAAGCTATCTAAACCTTCATCATTTAAGATTGTATATACAACAATAAGAAAAAATCCTGGTATCAAACAACTTTAAGGGCACAACTGTAAGTAAGGGCCCTCCCCAGTGGTGCAGCAGGTTAAAGCACAGCACTGTGAAATTATTTGCAGCCACTGCAGCATGAGTTTGAACTATGGTCAGAGAGGTGACTCACATAGTGTGGCAGACCTCTCCTGGCATGCTCACTGCTCCCCTCAGAAGCATATTTCAGTAGATCTGCCGTTCTACTCCCCACTCTGTCTCTGGTGAATCCTTTCAAACTTCCCCACACCTCTGGAGTGTACACCAGTTCTTTCGTGTATAAATAAATAAACCTTTATAAAACACTGGGAAAACTCTGATGCTTTTCTGCTTCAGCTGTTTAGAAGAATGAAATGTATTACCAACTGGTCTGCTGAATTGTTGGTTGTTCATGGGTAAGAGTCATGTAATATCTCCAAGCTTTTGCTAGTTGAAACTGACCATCTATTCTCTACTCATTGATAAAATAGTATTTCTGTACATTATGAAAAAGAAAGTACTTATTCAAACTCAACCAAAAAAATTTTTTAAAACAAAGTAAATACAGTAGATTGGCAATTGTTGAAAAAGAATTGTCCAGTAAGACTGGAAATAAGAGTCACGAAGACCATGGTCCAAATGAGAAGTATCTGCAGATTTGCAGACTATGCCCATTTCTAGGTTTTTTGTTTTTTTTTTTTTAAATAAGGGAGTCATATTGGCAGCAATATCATACACAAGCAGGAATTCTTATCAAAAAGCTGAAGAAAAACAGGTAAGTAGATACTTAGCATTAGCCTAAATCATTACAAAGGCAAATTTGCAAGGAAAAATAATTACAGCACTGAGAACTTAATTAAGCATTAGACACTCATACCTGATTGTCTTGGATTTGAAGTTTATGCTATTTTTAAATACATAAACTGCATTCCTGTTTCTGAGATAGCTTTCAGTTTAAAGTAAAAACAACAACTGTAAAAATGTACTTACATTTTATTACTAAAAAAGCAACAGCCAGAAAGTAAATTGATTCTACCAATGAGAAAAACCTATAGCAAATAAGTTGAGAAAACCAGCCTCAAGACAAATCTAAAATATAAGCTATTTGTTAAAATGTACCTCATAATATGATTTTCACATTTATGATGCCTACAGATTTTTCAAATTAGATACCAGAATTTGGAAGCCAATTTTATCTATTTTGTTAAAAAGGAGAAATAAACTATTAATTTTTTAAGAGAAACACATCTTCATCAAGTCAGAGTGAAAAGAGCAGTCCACTAGAAAGTAAGATATCTAAGTTCTTCTGGAAGAATACTTTTAATTTGTCTGGATTTACAATTTTTCATCCATAAAATGAGGAAGTTGGTGATAATCACTAAGGTCTCTTGAAATTCTGTTCTTACATATAATTGAAATAAGGAAGATTATAAAAATACTATTATCCTATGAGCAATGATAAATATGTAGACTTTATACATATGACACTTATAAATATAAGGAATTTATGTAGACATGGAAGGAAAAATAACAGTATTCTCTAGGGACTATCAAAGCAATAAATAGTAAGAGTCATGTCAGTAGTGTGCTAAAAGACAACAATATCTTGAAAATGAATATTAAGATTAAAATTTCCTACACTTTGCCAAAACGTAGTCACAACTAATAAGTATCAAAACTTAATTGGTAGGATTCTACTGGAAAAGCATCTTCCTGTTAAAAACTTTAATTCCCTAGCATTACTTTCACCTCTGTTCGCCATCAAACTACTAGCCTACTCCAGGTTGTGAACAAAAAGAAAAGAAAGCAAGGAACATCATCATTTAGAATATTTGGAAATGACATATTGACATATTTAAATTTTTAACACTCCATTGATTTAAAAAAAGAAATGTTGATTCTGCTATGTGAGTTAACATGAGTTACTAAATCTTTCCTTTAGAACACTTTCAAACTCTAATAAAACACACTCCTGTGTGGAAGGTGATAGAGGAAATTACTTAACTCTAAGGTAACTTAGGCACACAGTTATTTAATAATTTTACTAATTTTCTCAAAAAGCTATGACTTCAAGCAAAATACAAAGTCATGACTCTACCATCAACCCAAGACTCCAGGCATTGTTCTTGTGGCTTAAAAATAAAACAAATTAAAAGCAATGTTAACTCATCCATCCAAGAAAATTCCAAAAATACAAGACCCACCCAGAATGTCTACTTACAGTCAAAGCACCATCTTAGTAAATATCACTAATAGACTAATCTAGTGTCATAATTCATCTGATGAGACAGTTAATTATTAATTTTCATACATCATTTCATTTCCTTAGGCTACATTTAGCCTTTGTTACATTTTCCATTCCTTATGCCACAAGCATTTCTTACCCAGCATAGAAAATCTGGAAATGATAAAAAATACTGGTCATCAAATAAACAACTCCTGATCTGACTTACTATGTATATTTGTGTGTGTATATATGTAAAATATCTAAAACGGTGTTTATTGATTCTTTTTCTTTTTTTCCTTTCTGGTTAATGATTGCATAATTTCATTAACATTGCTTTTCAACATTGTTGCCTTGATCGCTAATAGACCTAAGTTATTCCCATGGGCTTCACAAGTTACAGCTTCTGTAGCCAGAATATATAAATGAAAAACCTATTGATAGATAATATAAGTTATTCTCATGCACGGCTGCATGGGAAGCATATTTTGCAATTCAATCAAGGACAGATAGAGCTGAATGTTCTTAGATCCTGAGAGTTCATTTAATAAGCAGAATGTACCTTGTCCTAACACAGGTGACTGACTCCTCAGAAAGGATTGTATAAACAAAACCCAATCATGTAGGTCGTTTTATTGGCAACAATATAAACACAGCTATATTAGATGTCTCCAATAAATCAAAATTATTCTTGCCTGCAATTTTAACAAGAGGTAATGCAAACATGTGCCTATGAAAGCAGAGGGTATTATAGAGGAAATGCATTGGATGTGTACATTATCACTTCGCTAAACTTTATTATGATAAAATAACCTGCAACATAGTTGATCATTTTTGTGGTTTTGTAACTTTATTCAGTGAGTGTGACAGATCCATAGACTTTATAACAGAAATTATAAAGAAATAGGAGGGGTAATCTACATTACTGAGATGTGGTGAGGAAACAGAGAGAGGATACACCTGTAAATACCAGGTAGAGATTATATTCATTGGGGCACTCTCAGGTCTAATGCCAGAAATTCTAAAAATGTTAACATTTATTCTGAACACTAAAATGTACAGATATTATTCAAACAATATAAACACCAACAAGATAAAATCAAGGCGGTCTAGCTCTGACCTCCTAATTTAAAATAAAAATAATAATAAAGTTCCTTCCAGAGATTTAGGACCCTTCTTCCAAAGATTGGTCAGTATATGGATAGTAAGT